TATGTGTGAAAAGTAATCGTACATTTGTTATAGTGAACAGCCATTGTACTAATTCTAGTGTGGTGGGAACGTGAAAATCTTATCAAACATATGAAGACACTCTTTATATTTATTTAATACTTGAGGCATGTCTTATTTCATTATCAGTTGGCGGACTGTCGAAGTCATTCGATTGATCTTTTGCAGGAATTAACTATCTAAATACGTATGTATGTATGTACGTATGTAAATGTGTATTTCCATGATAAAAATATAGTAAGGTAGAACCGCTGAGAGTTACTTTTAAAATTCTTGACATTTCCAAACATTTTAATTTTTAAATTTACTTACAAACTCGCACACACATTTTCATTTTCAATCTCAAGCAACAACAATTTCGAACAATTTCAATTCTTTATTTTCAATTTTATATGATTTTAAAATGCTGGCAAACTTCAAAAAAAAATCATGGCCGACAAAATGAGAGAACGGTTCTACCTTGCTATGTTTTTATCATGTGTATTTCTTTGTAATTAAGGAACCTGACTATTTATTGATTTTCGTTTTACAATTTGAATTAAAAATTAAACTCCTAATAATATGTACATTAGACTGTGTCAAATAAAAGGTCACAACAAAAAGTGTGTCGTAATTTCAGCGCTCTTCATTTTTCAGTCAAAATTTTCAATGACTTTTTCCGCTAATAAATTTAAAAAAAATATCCTTGTAGTCCCTTCAATTTTAGTATGATAAAGTGCATGTTTGAAGTAGCTAGGACTTACCGTTAATTGTTGGCCCTTTTTTGAAGGTATCGCTCATTTTCTTCCATATAAATAAATCTTTGAACATATCGCTATCTTACTTCAATAGTGTCATAACTCAAAAAAAGCAGAATTCGAGAAAAGCGGCCTTAAAGTTTTGAATTTACATACACTCCCATAGTAAAAATGATTCGTTCTAGTGAGATACCGGTAATCGATACAGCTATGCAATTTGTACACAACATAGAAGAGAAGGGGTGGCGGTAATTTCTGCATATGTACTTAACTTAATACATACTTGTATTTTTTTATTAAGTAAATGAAAGAAAATTATCAAAAAACTGTTCGACAGCAGCCGGAGGAATTGATAAAACCAATTTTTTTGAAAGTCTGGAAAAGTGCATAGAAAAGTTATTTCTCAGTTTTCCCAGGTTGGCAATTTCTGCGGGTTTTTGGGTACGGCAATCTGAATCTGCAATACATTTTTATCTCAAAAACGGCCGCTGGGTACACTTTATTGCGCTCTGGCGCAAAAAAAGAAAACGTGAAAAGCATAGTTGAGATACATTGTTGCAATTTTTAGAATTTTGGTCTGTCTGTCTGTATATTTGTACGCGCATAACTCGAAAACTAATGCATGGAATCGAATCAAGTTTTCACCTATGTATCGCTAGAGGTCTAACTTACAATATAGAAGAAAAAAAAATTAGAGGGTTGCCACCTGTTTGAAAATTTCAGTTTAGTTAAATTGATACACCACCTGTTTGAAAACTTTCATTTAAATTAATTGATAACATAAATTAAATAGTGAAATATTGGCATCAAACTAAAGAGGTTAGGAAATTTTAATACCGAAAATATTTTTAGGGGATCTGTTTGAAAAATTTTATTCATTTAAATTGGTAAAATAAATAAAATATTGCAATACGAATATTAAAATAAAGAGGTTTAGGAAGCTTACTTTCGAAAATATTTTTGAAGCGGGCTGCCAACTATTTGAAAAATTTAATTCAGTTAAATTGATAAGTTAACCTAAATGTTGCCATATGGATATCAAACGAAGGTATTTGAGCATAATAAAATTGTAACAGGCCGATATCTGTACACAATAGATATTAAAGAAAAATTAATAGGGGGTTTATTAGATCAGCAGAAGCCAAATCAACAATTTTTAGAATTTTGATCTGTCTGTATGGCAACATATTTTTAAGCGCATCACCGATGTAAAAGTCGAAATTTTTATGCTCTCACTCCCTAGGATTGTTCCATACCGAAAAAATATACCCTTATTTTTTATTTTGAAATCAAAAAATATTTAGGGGTCGCTCAAAGCGTCCAAAATTTTTCATGTATTTTATATGGGGTAAAAACAACTTTTCGTAGAAATGGTTTAAAATAGTTCAAAATCAATATTTTTCTACCAGAAAACTCTGTTTATCTGCACGAGGCTCCCAATAATAATACCCAATTATTTATTTAACCATATTTGCAACTATAATTTATAGGTCAGCCAAAAACCCACAAAAACCCCGAAAAGTGCAATGGGGCGACCAATACAAATCGTTAGTATTAAAAAATGGTTAAATAAACAATTGGGTATTATTATTGAAAGTCTCCTGAAGAGAACCACAGTTTTCCGATCGAAAAATATTGACTTTCAAGAATTCTATACCATTTCTACGAAACAATTTATTTTCCCCATATAAAAATACATGGAAAACTTTGAGCGCTTTGAGCGTCCTCTAAATATTTTTTGATTTCAAAATAAAAAATAGGGGTCTACTTTTTTCGATATAGAACAATTATAGTAGGGGGTGAGAGCATTAAAATTCCGACATTATTGTTTTTGGACCACCCTAATCTGTATACATTTATGTGAACGGGCAAGTATCATTCGATTGGGAACCATTTTCTCCTAGATTTCTAAATCCCACTGAGTTATTGTAACTTTGTTTATATTTTTTGGTAGAAGATAAAATTTTTAAAATTTTTTCTAATTCTGCACAAAGTTTGGAGCATTGATTTTTATTAGTCTCGTTATAGACTATTTTATTATTTATAAAAGTCGTATTTATTTCAATAGTGTTATTGAGCTTTGTGCTACGATTTGTTTTTTAGAAGAAATAGAAAAACAGCCCCTACCTGGCAGGTAGGTGAAAATAAGACCATCGGTTAAGCTGATGACATCGAAAGGGATTAGTATCCCATATGCTATCACAGCGTTACTATTACGTTGGCCTGTGTGTGAGGGGATACTGCGCTTTAGTGGTTTCAACTTAAACTAAAAATTTTGACTTTACAGACTATTTTTGCTTTTAAGTGCTCGTTTGCATTGTCCAACGCAAAAATTCTTATTAGGCGCCGCGAAGCAAGCGGGCATTAGCTAGTTTATGTATACAAACATTGATATGTTCTAAAAATACGTACGAAAGTGCAAATGTACTTAAATTTGAAACGCCTACACAAATACTGCTGTCGCCGCAGTGACCATTAGCCAAGCGATAGTCACTGCACAGTGGTGTGTGCTTACAATAAAATAATTATGAATTCCAGATTAAAAATAATGCATATTAACTTTTTGCTCACTCAAATGACCAAAACTCTATCACAATGAAATTATTTCTAGAAAATTTGCAAATAAGTCAGTGGTCAATTACCATTTCATATAGCGCAAAGTTGCATCCTTAAGGCACAATTTGAAAGCGAATTTTACTAACGTCTCATTATTCCTGCGTTACTTTCACTACATATTTGATTTTTCACAAATTTTTGTACGAAGCGCACCCACTGTGCTTCGCCAAAGTCAATATACTTCTTATTCTTACATGATCACGTGCAGTAGATATGTTTTGCTTATAACTCAATGAGTCTGACGAATACATACTTTACAAATAATAGCAATTCTCGGTTTTCATAAGCAGCAGCGTATGAGTGTGCATTTGTATTGATTATTGTACAGAAATATATTTTATGTTTTTAATTCATATTGGCATTATTGTGTACATTGAAATACAGTATATACATACATATGTATGTACACACAGTATGCATTTTGAATTATCAATAGCGGCCGGTTATTAATCGCAAAGTAAATGATAAGTCTATTATGAACGTTGTTGTCATTTCAGACAACGGATGACTGTTTTTATTGTTAAACTTCTAACTTGAAAAAAAAAACGCCAAAGAGTCAAGAGACCTATATCCATTCGTATCAAAATATGTACATACAATGTTTATCTTTATCGCCTTCAATTTCAGGGAAAATTGTATAAATTACCACCGTTTTTTATATTTTTAATAAAATTTTACATACATAAAAGTTTAATCTTGACCAAAGCTAAGTTGTATTAACTTGAAAACGCCAAAAAACTTTTCAAAGCACGTGTTAAATACGCGGCGGAGGTAGATTGTACTGGGTATTTTTTCAAAAAATTACAGCAAAATGTTTTTTTCAGCTTTTAGTGGAAGCTAAATACCCTGCAAACCAAAGTTCCCGAAATCTTATCGAAGTCTTTAAAAGTATCTTATTTTTGTACCGATTTTTTTACGAATCTTCAAAGAAAATGAAAAAGATATGAAGTGGTTGACACGAACTCGTAAAGAAATTTCTGTAAGAAAAATAAAGAAAATTCTGGAAAAATTCTGAAAGAAATTCTTCACATGGTAGCATTCGTTTCATTGCTTTACCGATTTTCTTCCGAAATTTCGTAAAAGAATCGAAGTTTATTTAATTTTAGAAAATTCGGCAAAAAATCGGATGAGATATTTACGAATTTCTTAAAATTTCTCTACAGTTCAGAACACTCTGAAAAAAATGGTTTGCAGGGTATGTACTTACATATTTACATATCGTTGATGAAATGTAGAAAGGCCCTAACAGAAATTTTATTCGAAATTTGTTTTTTTTTTTTAATTCCCGAGAAGCTTTTACTAAACCCCATCTTCTCCAAACAATTTAGAATCGTAACTCAAAAACCCACACTGAACGAATGGCCATTTGTGAAAGCAAAAAGCCCTAATTTGAATATGCTACAAAAAATGTAATGAAACTTCCATAAAAGGTCAATTTACCGTGTTCCTTTTAATAACGTATATCTTAGGAACCAATTTATCGCTTTCCGATAGGGCTTATAGTTTCTGGCAAATTAATTAATCATTCCAGCTTTTTTCATTTCATTATGAAAAAATTAAAAAAATCAAGCTTTAACAGAAGAAAAATTTAAAAATTAACAGGTTCTGTGCCAAATTTTTGCATTTGTACTAAAGCCTGTTCTGTTACAAAAAAAAATCTCAAATTACTATGAAAAAAAATCGATGGATAAATAAGAAATAATGAGTGGTCAAATGAAAATACGCAAAGATTTTTTTTATGAAAAATGAGTAGGAAAGAAAGTTACCCATAAGCCACGTACCCCTGAGTAACACGCTTTTCTACTCATAATTCATAAAAAAAATATTTGCGCATTTTCATTTGACCACTCATTATTTCTTATACACCGATTTTCTTCATCAGTAACTTAATTTTTTTTTCTAACAGCAGAGGATTTAACACAAATGCAAAGATTTGACACAGAACCTGTTATTATTTCAATTTTTCTTTTGTTAAAGTTTGATTTTTTTTCGTTTTTTCATTAAAAAATAAAAACAACTGGAATGATTAATTAATTTGTCAGAAACTATGAGTGCTATCGGGAAGTAATGTATATATGGTTTATGGAGAATTTCATTAGCTTCCATTTGCCGTACTTTATATTAAGATTTTTCAATTGGTTCGTAAGATATACGTGATTAAAAGGAACTAATATTTGCTTTAAGCTGAATAATGGTAAATTGCTAATATCTCGTAAACGTATCCATAGAAAAACAAATTAACCCGATTTTCGTAATCACCGAGCAATTCTACATAGAAATTCGATAATGGCGTCTGGAGAAATATACCAAAATAGATAAAAATTCAGTAAGTTAAAATGTTTTTGACCGAGTTTGTCAGTTTTTAGTAAGTTGATTGTTGAAATCAGAATTTTATAATTTTAAAAGTACATTCGTAGCTATATCTACCGAATTTTTGTGAAACAAGAATGGGTGTTTGGGGGAGATTCTATTATTTTTGAATTCGTCATCGTGTGGCATCACAATTTTGTGAAGAAAAACTTATTCGTTCCGAGATAAATAATTTATATGTTGAAATGGTTTTCCCTATTTAAAAGTATTCAATTGTAAAAAATGTCAAACCGGAAGCAATGTACCAAGCAAAAATTTAATCGCCAAATGAACCATCTGCTTAATTCTCAGTATTCGTGTTGTTGGATAATTTTGTCTTGAGAGATATATGTACATTACATACATATGTAACTTATACATACATACCATATTTCTACAATATCAAACTTCGCTTCCATATGGTACTCAAAAGTATTCTGTTGGGGCAAAACATGCATAATTATATATGTAGATAAATATGTGTATACATATGTATGATTGTATAGTAAGCAGACGTAAAGCATGTATGTAATATCTATTATCTAACTATTGGGAAATCAAAACTAAAATTACATCTGTAGCTACTTACATTGGTCAGCTCGCCCCAACCGACTGGCCAGTACTCTCGCTTTTTCCATGGATCCGTTGGGTACGGTTCAATTGGTGTTCGATCACCGTGGCGGTAAAGCTAAAATAACCAATAGAAATAATTATTCAAAGATTTTGAAGGTGCTGACTTGTTAATTTAGTGAAATAGTCACTGACAGACATCGACTGGCAGATAAATCGTCACTTCAAATTCTGTATTTACAACTTACCACATGTGCAAGTATTAGTTTTCCTTTCAGAGCATAATTGCTGCCAATTTGTTGTTGGCTTTGGGTAGACGTGTCCGATTTCGCCAAGGTTAGGGTAGCGCGGCACAAAATTAAGAAGAACAGAGTGTGGAGCAGCCATATCGGCTTGTTGAAATTCGGTATTTTTGGCATAATTAGTGCAGGTATTTGCAATGCGGATTTTCTTGTTTTATTTTCTACTTTGCGTTCACACTCGTGTTTCGTGCACAGCACAACAACCTGCTTGTTTCCCAATGAACTTTAAAATAAACGTACAACCAATATAGGTAGGTACGTGCTTCACAAAATGCACCGCAGTCGCTGGTTGGAGTTGGTAAATAAATAAATACTGACAAACATATGGATGCGAAATTTGTAGTATTTAGTTGTTAGTAGCCACTCAGCTGCGTGCCCGTTTTATGCCCCAGTGCCGTGTATGCCGACTAAATGGGTGGCTTTATTTGCCAATTTTTTAGATATCGTCAATTTTCAGGCGTTTTATGCGTATGTAATGTATCATGCGTACATAGCTCATGTACAATGCAAGTGGAAAATGCAAATTGATAAATTTAGCAGCGCTCAATTTTCTGCGTGTACATATGTATGTATGTTTGTTTATATGTATGTATGTATCTATAAAGGTTCTCGTACGTAATTCCGATGCCTACTTTGCGCCGTCTTTTTCTTACAAGTCTTTGATTATTTAAACTAAAGAGTTATTGAAGTTTCGTATATTTGCCGCCGACGCTGCTATTATGCGCTTTCAATTTCGCCATCGCGTCTACAAAGCATTAACCAATTAACGCAAATATCTTACAAAATATTAACTATTCCTCGATTATTTTAATTTATGCGCCGCGACTACATACGCCTATTGCGACTTTGACATCGAACACAACGACAACAACTGACCGCACACACACTGGTTTGCCGTAGAGTCACCTCTCGTCGAGAATATGCACCAAACCGAAAATGCTCCATTGTCGTTTCACCACTTCTCATTCACAAACGAATCAACAGATAAAAACCTTGAAGCACACAAGGAAAACGTCAGAAAACGGCTCTTTTGTTGTTTGGTATTTCAATTCACACGCTTGCTCGGTTTCTCGGAGCACCAAAATGGCAGAGATTAATGTTCAATGCCGTAGCTGTGCATTGAGTGGCGTGTGTGCCATGGCTTATGGTGGAGCGAGTGGTAGAAATAACAGTGGAGAACAGCAAAGGTTTAGCTACAGAGAGCGTATGCATCTGGATTGTACAATGGGAGCATGTGCTGATACCCCTCTCAGTTCATTCACTCAGTAATTTTTATTAAGATCTCAGCTACATATCGTCACCTGAGTGGAATTACTTTCAGAATTTTATTGATAAACTTCCTATCTCAAAATTTGATTAAAGAATGCCCTATCTCATCTGAAAATACATTGAAAATGAGCTGAGATAGGGTGTTTTTCAGTCAAATTCTGAAATATGGGGCATTCCTCAAAGGTTTTCTGATACAGGGTGTTTTCGAACTGGCTGCCGAGATAGGTCGATCTTCCATACATAAATGCATTCATATGTATATACATACATACATACATATCGTCGTTTAAAGTACAAAACCGCGTAACTGACATTTGCTGCCAAAAATTGGATTTGCTCCCAAAAGTTCTTGGCTCAAGCCTTATCCATTCGTCCTGAAATATATTGGCCAGAAATGCGATTGCTTAATAAAAAAAGAACCATTTTGATATATGAATGCTTTGAGTTTGAAGAGTTTTGCATTATCTTGATACGCGGCTTTGTACTTTAAACGACGATATGTTTCTCAGAAAAGTTTATATAGAAACACAAAAACACATTAAATTATACACATATGTATGAAACAAATTTGCAGCGGCACCCCTCTTCAACAACCGGAAATACATATTTGTATAGAAATAATGCCGTTAAAAATAGTAGCGCGCCTAAAAGATGCAATACCAAAATAGTAATTGTACACTAGGGTGGCTCTTATTATTCGGGTTTTATTTTGTTTCTTGTGGAAAGTCCTTAATTTTGAAAACATTACGTTCAAATCTTTCGAAATTTTAAAGATTTTATAACTTTTCATCTATCAATTACTATGTTCCTGCCAGGCTAGGTCCTGGCAAGTCAGTGATACAAACTATTGAATTTTGTTTATTTGATTTGATTGTTTTCAATAAATTTCAGTTCAATCCTCGACCGTGGATTTTTTCCTCTCCAATTATTTCTATTGTTAAAAAATATATATTTTAATTTTATTTGATGTTTAGAAACTTTTTTAATTAATTTTTTTAAACTCATTTTCTCAAGTTTTTATTGCTAAAAAAAAAAAATTCGTTGTTTTTAGAAAATTTAGTGCTAAAAAATAAATAGAACAACGCTGGGACCTTCTCGTTAGCAGAGCTTTTAATTAGTCATTCGTAATACAGAACACAGCTTTCAAGGTAGTTGCCGGAATAAGAAAAACTTTTGTCTTTCGAAAGGCTATGGTATACGGCACTCATATGGCAGGTTTCTCCAAATCAACTTAACTTAGTTTAGCCAACTTCTTGGACTTAGTCAAGAATAAGCGGAATAAAAAGTATGCTAACTTTTGACTTAAGTTCAGAAAATGGCTAAACTAAGTTAAGCTGAGTTCGAGAAACCAGCCCATAATTTTTCTAAGAAATCTAATTAAAAAACTCAAAATATTGATGAATCTTTGTGGAATTTTGCTCATTTCTTTGTTAGATATTATCTATCTAATAGATAACAAGCTACGCTTTCGTAAAAAATAATAAACATTAATACTAAACATTAAATAATCAAGAGGAATAACCAAAGAATGCATCCCTATTTATATTTTCACCACTGTCTCTACAGCTTGTATTTTTTATATCCATGATTTTCTCGAGGGAATTAGTATTGTCTCTAATTTTACTAAATTTAAGTTAGAATCGTTCCATTAAAAAAAAACAAAAAACTTAACATAACCAAAGATCATAGTAAACAAGGATGTTGGCTATGTTTGTGGCTCTCTTATATTCTATGGTTTTTGTGATAACGAAAGTGCTGCCACGTTTGTACGAAAAATTGTTTTTGGGCCAGAGTACAGGAAAACTCTTATTAAATTAATAAATAGCACACTGGAAATCGCGACTTAATCGGTAAAAAATATGAAAAATCGACTTTTAAAAAATATTCAGCGGGACAATTTTCCCAAAATCGGTGCTGTCCTGCCAAAATCGGTACGAATGGTCACCGTAAGTATACCATACAACAAAAAACAAGGTTCGCCGTACACATTCCAGTCTAAAGTATTTTTGCCAAGCCAATTTCACTTTTTCAGGCTTTCCTAGGTATGATTTTTAGAAGGCCGACATAAATTATCTTCTGGGATGGTCTCACGCAAATAAAATCCTAGCCACGATTTTTCCAAAAGTTGCACGCGTGGTTAAATAAAAAATTGGGTTATTATTATTGGGCCTCTCCTAAAGAGAAACAGACTTTTCCGATCGAAAAATACGAGAAGCTCTTTTTCAATATAAAAACGTGTAAAACTACGAGCGCTTTGAGCGACCTCTAAATATTTTGACTTCGAAATAAAAATAAAAAATTTGGGTATATTTTTTTGGAACGCTTTACTTTTTCACATGCATTCTGGGACCACCCTAATGTACATACATATATA